CGGAGGAATCAAACCCAGGGCTTGATGCATGCTAGGCAAGCATGCTACCACTAAGCCACATTCCCAGCCTCTAGTTGTTCACTTTCTGTGTGATCATGACCAAGCAACTCCAGCTGTCGAAGCCTTCACATCCTCTTCTATACCGGTGACAGTGAAAGCCACCATAGTATGGGTTGGCATTGTAAAAGGAAGTTCTGGATGAAGGTGTGTGATGTTCTTGCCTCTTCCTGGAGTAGGGCACATACGTGGTACCAGGGAAGAGTCCCTCTTATAGCCATCAGCAGTGCTTCATCTCCCTGCAGTTGTGTTAGAGGACCCCCCTGGGGACACATCTGGATTCACACACCCCAAGCACAGCCCTTGATTTCACCAGCTCTGCTGGCTCTCTCCACCATGAGACAGGAATAGAAGTTTGATTCCATAGGAAAGCAAGACATTTTCTGCCTCATAAAAGAGCAACTCCTGGTGTTTTTCAACACCCACGTGTTCTAGCCCTTTCTCCATACTTGTTGCCCCTAGGCTCCTGCAAACTGCTGATTCTGAGCCAGCCCCAATTCCTCACTGGGACTGAGCGTGGGAGGGGCAGCTCTGGAGTGAAGGAGGGTCATTTAAGTATGTCCCAGCTTCTTCTCTTTAGAAGGCACAGCAGTCTGGCTGTGTGCTCCCACGAGTCACTAACTTCTACTCTTTATTTTTGTCGGATGTGGGGCTTGAACTCTGGGCCTGGGTACTGTCCCTGAGCTCTTTTGCTCAAGGCTATTGCTCTACTCCTGTGAGCCACAGTGCCACTTCCAGTTTTCTGGTGGTTAATTGGAGATAAGAGTCTCAAGGGCTTTCCTGCTCAGGCTGGCTTTGAACTATGATGGTCAGATCTTAGCCTCCTGAGTAATGGGGATTACAAGTGTGAGCCACTGGTGCCGGCTTAGCTTCTGCTCTTATAGCTCTACCCTGTTGCTACTTCCTGCTGAACAAACTTCTAGTCTAATGATAGGAAGCACAGGTTTAGATGATAGACTCTGGAGACATGATTTTTTTTTTTTGGTTGGTTGTGGGGCCTGAACTCTGGGCCTGGGCCCTGTCCCTCAGCTACTCAACTCAAGGCTAGAGCTCTACCACTTGAGCCACTGCGCCACTACTGGCTTTTTCTGCTTATGTGGTACTGAGGAATTGAACCCAGGAACCCATGCATGCAAGGCAAGCACTCTACCACTGAGCCACCTTCTTAGCCCCACGTGATTCCGTTTTAATCCAGGACCTATTTCTTTCCTTCCTTCCTTCCTTCTTTCCCTCCCTCCCTTCTTTCCTTTTTTTCTTTTTCTTTTTGTGTGTGTGCTGGTATAGGGCCTTTGTGTGTATGTATGTGTGTGTGTGTGCCAGTACTAGCACTTGAACTGAGGGCCTAGATGCTGCTCTTTAGTTTTTTTCCTTAAGGCCGGCACTCTACCACTTGAACTACATCTCCATTTCTGACTTTTTGCTGATTAATTAAAGGTAAGAGACTCACAGACTTTCCTGCCCAGGCTGGCTTCACATCTCAGTCCTCAAATCTCAGCCTCCTAAGTAGCTAGCATTAGAGGCTTGAGCCACCAGTGCCTGGCAGAAGGATGAGCTTTAAAAATATTTAGCAATTGCTCTCCCTGGTTAAACATGGAACAATGAGTACAACAAAGTGAATGAAGCTGGGCATGGTGGTTCATGCCTGTAATCCTAGCTACTGGGTAGGCTAAGATTCGGAGGATCACATTTCAAGGCCAGCCTGGGCAAAAAGTTCATGAGACAGTATTGCAAATAATACAAAGTTGGATGTGGCTCCCAGCTATATGGGAGCAGGATTGTTGCCTGGGCTAAAAAATAAGACCCTATTCAAAAACCAATGGCTACGAATGTGGCTCAAGTGGTAGAGTATCTTCTTGCAACTGGAAGGCTCTGAGTTCAAACCCTGTTCTGCCTTAAATAAGCAAATAAATAACTAAAATAAAGAATAAGGAAGCAGACTGTGGTGGCTCCCACCTGTAATCCTAGCTATTTAGGAGATGGAGATCAGAAGGATCTAGTTTGGGGCCAGTATGGGCCCAAAGTTCTGGAACTTCCTTTTAAACATGGCTGGACATGGGAGCCAGCCCAGACAGAAAAATCCATGAGGCTCTTATTTCCAACTAACCACTAGAAAACTGGAAGTGGAGCTGTGGCTCAAATGGTAGTGTGCCAGCCTTGAATGAAAAAGCTCAAGGACAATACCAAGGCAAATTAGTTCAATCCCCAGGATAGACACCAAAAAACAAGATACTTGGGATGGAAGTGTGGCTCTAGTGGTAACTGAGTGATCAAGTAATGAAAGGAGCTTGAAAAATAAGAGACTTAAATGTTCTCAAAGTGGTACTTTCTACTTCAGCCCTGCTACCTCCTCAAATAAAATCATCTTTGGTATCATCATTTTTCCTTTCTTCCCTTTATTTTAATGTTTGAATTCAGAGCTTCATGCTTTATAAATAATCTATAACTTGAGCCACACCTCCAGCTCTTTTTTGCTCTGGTTATTATTATTATTGTTTTGTGCTGGTACAGGGCCTTGAATTCAGGGCTTAAGCACTGTCCCTTAGTTTCCCCTTCCTCTTTTCTTCTACCTTCTCTCTTCTCTTTTTCCCTGTAATGGTGGGGATTGAACCTAGGGTCCTATGCATGCTAGGCCAGTGCTCTACCACTGAGCTACACCCTCAGCCCCCTTATTTGTGTGAATGTGAGACACGCAGATAGTACAGGGTCCATGGTTGCCAGCAGGTGGAACCAGTTTCAGTGGTTACCAAGGCCACCTGCAAAGGCTGGCCCATGGATCTGCCCATAGACCCCCTTGTAGAAAGACTAACCCAGGACCCCCAAAGGATCTCCCCAAGAGTACCATAAAAGTCCTGATAAAAGCTGGGCACTAGTTGCTCACACCTATAATCCTAGCTACTCAGAAAGCTGAGATCTGAGGATCACAGTTCAAAGCCAGTGCAGGCAGGAAAGTCCATGAGATTCTTATCTCCAATTAACCACCAGAAAACTGGAAGTGGCGCTGTGGCTCAAGTGGTAGAGCACTAGCCTTGAGCTGAAAAGCTGAGGGACAGTGCCCAGGCTGAGTTGAAGCCCCATGACAAAAAAAAAAAAAAAGTTCTGATAAAATTCCTGGGAGCACAGCCATCCTGTAGAAACTGTGCACTGGCCTAGGCATATCTCTTATATAAATAAGCTCCACCTAACTTTCTTGACTCCCATGGTGCCCCCTCCCCCACCCCATAAAGACAGGTAGGAATGCTGCTCTCAGGACTCAAGCATTACAACCTAGCCTATTGATGCATTTCCTGCTGGACACACTTCCATTTCCTATCCTTCACTGCTACCTGTCTTTATCCTGATCCTTTGGGACCAAGGGAATCTAGAATCCAGATCCTGAGAGAAGCTCCATTTCTGAGACTCTCACCTGTAACATTGACACTCTTGCACATATCTGGAAGATGGCTAAAAATAAATAGAAGTGCTTTGCAATAATTTGCATTCTTTTTTTTTTTTTTGGGTCCGGTCATGGGGTCTGAACTCTGGGCTTGGGCGCTGTCCCTCAGCTCTTCAGCTCAAGGCTATTGCTCTACCACTTGAGCCACAGCGCCACTTCTGGCTTTTTTTCTTTTTGCTTATGTGGTGCTGAGGAATGAACCCAGGGTCTCAGACATGCAAGGCAAGCGCTCTACCACTGAGCCACCTTCCCAGCCCCAATAATTTGCATTCTTTGCCATACTTCTTTCCTGTTATACTTTCTTGTCATTTGTTGTTGTTGGTTGTGGGACTTGAACTCAGGGTCTAGGCACTGTCTCTGAGCTTTTGTGCTCAAAGCTAGCACTCAACTACTTTGAGCCACAGCTCCACTTCCTGTTTTCTGGTGGTTAATTGGAGATAAGAATCTCACAACTTTCTTCCGGGGCTGGATTTGTATGGGAATTCTCAGATCTCAGCCTCTGGAATAAGTAGGATTAAATGCCTAAACCACCAGCTTCCAGCTAATGTCACTTTCACTAGCCCCCAGCTATTGTCATTTTCACTAAGAGTCATGTGAGTCCTCTTGCCTGAATTCAATATTCTGGCTGGATGCAAAGGACTGATAGTTGCTCTGACTTTCAGGTGAAAGGGCTTTTTTTTTTTGGTCCATCATGGGGCTTAAACTCTGGGTCTGGGTGCTGTTCCTCAGCTTTTCAGCTCAAGGCTAGCGCTCTACCACTTGAGCCACAGCGCCACTTCAGGCCTTTTCTGTTTATGTGGTGCTGAGGAATCCAACCCAGGGCCTCATGCACGCGAGGCAAGAGTTTTGCAGACATCTAAGCTGGTTGGCTTCAATTATAATCCTCTTGATGTCAGACTACTGAATAGCTAGGATTATAGGTGGGAGTTACTGGACTCAGCCTGCACCAATTTTATGTCTCATGTGTGTGTGTGTGTGTGTATACCTATATCTGTATATACAAAGCTAGTATGGCTCCAAAGTCAACACTTCTAACTCTACATATTATGCTACTTAGTAGATAAAGAAGAGGATAGGCTTCCGTGAGAGCTGTGAGAGGCTGGGCGCCTATGGATCCCGCCTGTAATCCTAGCTACTCAGAATGCTGAGATCTGAGGGTAACGGTTCAAAGCCAGACCGCGCAGGAAAGTCCGTGAGACTCTTATCTCCAATAAACCACTCGAAAACCGGAAGTGGCGCTGTGGCTCAAGCGGTAGAGCGCTTGCCTTGGGCTGAAGAGCACAGGGACAGCGCCCAAGCCCAGAGCTCAAGCCCCACAACCGACCAAAAAAAAAAAAAAAGCTGTGAGAAACGAAAACTGGATTGTGATCAAGTGGAAACTCCCCAGATCCATCCGTACCAAGCCCTCCGACCTTTCCTCCGGAAGTGCTTGCGACTCTCGGGCTCAATTGCGCTTGCGCAGCCGCTGGAACAGGGTCGCTTGGGGCCGCGCGTAGAGCAAAGATTTAAGGGCGCCTGCGCCAAGGGGGCTCCCGTCAGAAGGCGCGTTCCCGCGCGCTCCCTCTCGCGTCTGCGCGCGCGTGCCCGGTGGGCGTGGGAGGAGGCGGGGAACGCGGGAGGGGGCGGGTGTCGCGGGAGGGAGAGAGCGAACCGGAGAGCGTCGTCCTGAGAAGAGTGAAGGCGGCAAAATGGCGGACCGCTTCTCCCGCTTCAACGAGGATCGAGACTTTCAGGTAAACAGGGGCGTCGCCGCGGCTCCGGGGAAGGCTCTGGCTGAGCCCGGAGCCTCGGTCATCCCGGCCTCCCGGCTCGCTTTCCTTGGGGACCCTGCTGCCGCTCGCGACCCGGCTCGCTCTTGTGTCTCCGGTTCCTCAAGGGGCCTCCTAGCTAGAGGCGAGGCCGCGTCTTCTCGCGTCTTTCTCTTTCCCCTTCAACTCAGCTTTCGGCCTATTTGGCTGTTGGTCCCGGAGCCCCAGCTGGGCTGCTGGTGGGCGGCTGTGTGGTGGCCGGTCCGGAGGCCTGTGCCGGCGGCGCAGGGGTGGCTCCCCGGGGAACCGAGGGTTGAATTGGGGAGGGCTTGGAGCGAGTGTTGGGGCGATCGGGGCTTCCAGATCCCTGGATCCTGCTCTCACGCATCTTCCTGGGGTGCTTATCCCCCTTTTTCTCTTAATAAACAAGTGCCTTCATTGTCTATGTCTCCCTCCCCCCTTCCCTCACCCAGGAAAAAGGTTCTCTCAGTCAGACGCCTTCTTGTTGAGTCGAATATTCAGATTTCCCCGCACAAATACGGCTGTTGTTATAAAGTCGTTAATTGAGATCGGGAAAACAATGATGGGGCTATGTATGGATCCATGTAAACTTTAACCCCCACCTTCCTCCCCCGAAAGATTTGTAAGCATCGAGAAGAATAATGGCCTTTTCAAGCGTGTGATAACTAGTGGCGAAAGATTGTTGTTTTTATTATCTGCAAATGTTGGTATGGAAAAATGCCCTTGGGATGGCAAACATTATCGAAGGAAAGGTAGCGGCCAAATTGGAATAAGTCATCTTTTGGCTGTTTTAAATACTTTATGTTGAGCAGTTGCCGCGGAAATACCGGAGACTAAAAGGGATTTAGTAGAGATGCCAATTTCTAGAGTCTCAGAGAAACCACTGCATTACTACCGCATATCCTGGCAACAGTAATTTGGGTCAGGGGATGAATCCTCAGAACTCAAGTTTTTATCCCGCCGTAAGATCTTTCCCAAAGCAACCCGATAATGCTCTAAATGTGTTTCAGAAGGCAGTTTGAAGGGTTTGAATTACCTGAGATGATTGGATTGGTAAATGAACAGGTAAAGCAGTTTAACAGTTTTAAACCAGCACTGTTAACAGTCTAGTACATAGAACGCTATGAGAAGTTTTGCAGCAGTGAGGGATCTGGGGGCTGTTGAAAGCCTTGTGATCATGTGCCTGCTGTATATGCTGCAGCACTACACAGAACCTCAAGGTGTTTTAAGGATGTAACTCGGGGCCAGTAAAGTTTGAAGCAATTTGATCCTTGAGGTTTTATTATTATTTTGTTTAAATAGCAAGCACTATAAAACATGAGTAGGTGCAAGTTGGGGAAGCTCAAATGCTTTTCAGAGGAGAAATTCAAGGTGACCTAATATAATTTGAAAAGATAGTAATATGGGCAATTAAATTTTGGGGGAAAAATGGCTCCCAACTATTTCAGCAGGTTTAACCACCAACAAAAATACAGTGAAGTGAAAAATTGAGTGAAAAATTTGAAAATTATAGGTAACTGGGTGAGTGCTGTCACTCCCAGAATTGAAATTAGCTTGTTCCTTTTACTATTCAGTTAGTTGGGCTAACAGAGAGCTTGATCTTAGATACTTTGTACTACTTTTCTGCTCTTATATTAAAATAAGTCACTTCCACTGTTGTTTAAAAAAAATTTAGATGTCCTAGTATTTTGCTTGACTAGGATATTAACGATGGAAACATTTTGGAAATTATAAGATGATAAATAGGTTATTACTGAGCTACATTCCTTGTTCGTTTTGTAAGTTATTATGCTACTATGTCTAAAAAGATTTATTTAAAAAACATACAGGTTAGGGGTATAATTGAGAGTGTGCTTGCCTACTATGTGTGAGGTGCTGGGTTTGATATCATCTCTATAATGATGATGCTTAATGTGGTATAGACAATATAGGTTGTCTTAATGTCCTGTGATTTAAAGTTATTGGAGAGAGAATGAAGTGTAATAAGATCTCCTAGTAATAATGTATCTGGAACATTTTTTTCAAGTTTGTTACTAAAAAATAAAGGTCATCTCCTTTTAAAATGTGTGTGTGTGTGTGTGCTGGGCGCTGGTGTCTCACACCTGTAATCCTAGCTACTCAGGAGGCTGAGATCTGAGGATTGAGGTTCAAAGCCAGCCTGGGCTAGAAAGTCCATGAGACTTATCTCCAGTTAACCACCAGAAAACCAGAAGTGGTTCTGTGGCTCAAGTGGTAGAGTGCTCCCCTTGAGAGTGGATGGACAGCGCCCAGACCCAGAGTTCAAGCCCAATGACAGACAGAAAAAGAAAAAATCAAGATGTGTGTGTGTGTGTATATGTATACATGTATGCAGATATGCGGGTCCTAGGCTGGCTTTGAGCCTGGATCCTCAGATCTCAGCCTCCTGAGTATCTTCGTGTGAGTGCCCAACTTAACAGTTTCACTTTTTATCAGTTTATTATCAAGTACAAATTGGAGAATTTTGATGTTCTGTTGAACTTAGTATGGCATCAGAGAGTTGGACTCAATATTAGGTTTTGTGTACATCCAAAAAGCTTAACTGGTATGCCACTTGAAGCATTTAGGAATATATAAAAGATAATCATTATTGGAAACTTTTTTTCCCAGGAATTTGGTATCTTTATTTTTATTTATTTTGGTCAGTCATGGGTTTTGAACTCTGGGCCTGGGTACTGTCTCTCAGCTCTTCAGCTCAAGGCTAGTGCTCTACCACTTGAGCCACAGCGCCACTTCTGGCTATTTCTGTTTATTTGGTGCTGAAGAATCGAACCCAGGGCCTCATGTATATAAGCCAAGCACCCTACCACTGAGCCACCTTCCCAGCCCTGGTATCTTTATAATAGTAAACAAGTGTGACTCAACATGCTTTATTATTTCATAATCATTATAGTAAACCTGTGAAGTAGGGGGTGTTAAAGGTGTTATTGCCATTTTCAAATGAAGTAGATATGACACAGAAATTTAGTATATATATCTGTTAAATGGCAGGGCTTGGATTTAGATTAACGATTTGACTCCTAAATTTGTGTTCAAGATTATTATCCCTGCTGGCAGCTATATATTTTATACAGTTCTAATTGAGTCATCAGATGTGAAAGATAAACTAACAAGTCACAAAGAATAAGGGAGCTTTTAGTAAGATGATACAATTGCAGTTTTTACTCTGTGTTCTTTTGTCCAAGTCTGTTTCTGTTGGTCTCCCAAAAACTTCTAGGGAGGCTTCTGACAGTGATAAGTTACAAGTATATCATAAAGGATATACTGTTAACTTTTTAGCCATCCATTTGTTTAGCTTCTCTCCCACCCCTTCTTGGCAGTGCTGGAGATTGAATCAAGAAAGAGATTTGTGCATGTCATAGTCTCTGTGTAATCAAGATGAGTGTTTTTATTTTATTTTTTATTTTTGTTGGTCATGGGGCTTGAACTCTGGGCCTGGGTGCTGTCCTTTAGCTCTTCAGCTCAAGACTTGCACTCTACCACTTGAGCCACAACACCATTTCTGGCTTTTTCTGTTTATGTGGTGCTGAGGAATTGAACCCAAGGTCTCATGCATGTGAGGCAAGCGCTCTACCACTGAGCCACCTTCCCAGCCCCAAGATGAGGATTAAAAAAAAATGTTTTTTCAGTTTTAACTTAAAAATCTGACCTTAACCTCCTCTTCCCCTCCAGCCAGGTTCCAGTAGCTCATGCCCATAACCCTAGCTACTTAGAGGATCATGGGTCAAAGCCAGCCTGGGCAGTTAAGTCCTTCAGACTTTTGTTTCACTCAGAAAAAGCTGGAAGAGGGTGGGAATGTGGCTTAGTGGTAGAGTGCTTGCCTAGCATGCATGAAGCCTTGGGTTCGATTCCTCAGTATCACACAAACAGATAAAGCTGGAAGTGGCACGGTGGCTCAAGTGGTAGAGGTCTAACTTTGAGCAAAGAAGCTCAAGGACAGCACTCAGGCCCTGAGTTCAAGTCCCTGGACTTCAAAAAAGAATTAATATAATTACTAGCAAATACAAAATGATATATGTTATTGGTTACTATATTCTCAGAGGATTGAATGACTAAATATCAGTATAAGAGGGTTCACATCTAGCCAGGCGCTGGGGGCTCACGCCTATAATCCTAGCTACTGAGGAGGCTGAGATCTGAGGATCAAGGTTCAAAGCCAGCCGGGGCAGGAAAGTCTGTAAGACTTTTTTTGTTTGTTTGTTTGGTCGTGGGCCTGAACTGTGGGCTTGGGTGCTGTCCCTCAGCTCTTCAGCTCAAGGCTAGTGCTCTACCACTTGAGCCACAGTGCCATTTCTGGCTTTTTTTTTCTGCTTATGTGGTACGGAGGAATCGAACCCAGGGCCTCATGCATGGGAGGCAAGCGCTCTACCACTGAGCCACCTTCCCAGCCCCCTATAAGACTCTTATCTCCAATAAACCACTAGAAAACTGGAAGTGGTGCTGTGGCTCAAGCGGTAGAGCTCTCACCTTGAGATGAATTGCTGAGGGATAGCGCCCAAGCCTAGAGTTCAAGCCCCACGACCGACAAAACAAAAAAAAAAAAGAGGGTTCACATCTATAATCTTAACTTCTTAGAAGGCTGAAACCCGAGGATCATGGTTCAGAGTCAAGCCAGGAAGAAAAGTTTGTGGGACTCCTAAAAATGCCATGGTGGAGGGGTAGCTCAAGTGATAGAGTACCAACAGTGAGCAGAAAGAAAAATTCAGTGAGACCATAGGGTACCAGCACAAAAACAAAGACAAGAATGTGGAACATATCAAGAAATTACATTGAAAGCCAGGTGACAGTGGCTCAGGCCTGTAATCCTAGCTACACAGAAGGCTGAGATAATGAGGATCCCAGTTCAAAGCCAGCCTTCAAAGGAAAATCCATGGGATTCTCTAATTAGCCACTAGAAAGCTGAAGTGGAGTTATAGTAGCTAATGCTAGCTAGCCTTGAGAGAAAA